ACTTAGAATACCTTTTATGAAACCTCAAAGTTCAAGAGGGATTTAGTAGTAAGCTAAGAACAGAGAGCTTAGCTGAACTGGGCAATAAAGCACACACAGTGACACCACCCAACACTGGCCATCACCCTCTTCAAGTACTATTAACTATAACATGATATATGATTTTATTTCACTAATAACACGAGAAGAGATAAGTCATAAAAATGTAAGCATACTGGAAAATGTGTTTCAAATAACCAAAATGTAGCTTAACAATCTAAAGCACCCAACTTATACCCAGAAGATTCCACATAATTTAGAACTAATGCTATCCCCTGAGCCAAAAACCTTAAGAACAATGTATCAATAGGATAAAACACTTACCTAATAAAAGTATAGAAATAGAAATTGTTAACTGGAGCTATAGAGACATGGGAAAGAAGAAAGAATAACTAAAAGTATAAAAAAGCAAAGACTAAAACTTTCACCTTTTGCATATGATTTAACTAGAAATAACTTTACACAAAGAATTTAAGCCAAAACCCAAAACCAGACCAGCAACTTATGAGCAACTAATTAGAGCCAATGCTCCTATGTAGCAAACTAGTGAAACAACTTATAAGTAGAAGTGATAAGCCTACTGAGCCTGGTGATGGCTGGTTGTCCAGAATAGAATATTAGTTCAACCTTAAATTTACCCAGAGCATTAGTAATCTCAATGTAAATTTAACTTATTATCTGAAGAGGGACAGCTCTTAAGAAGAAGGAAATAACCTTAATTAGGGAGTAAAACTTTAAACTACCATAGTTAGCCTAAAAGCAGCCATCAATTTAAAAAGTATTTATTTAAGCTTAACTCAAATTCAACTCAAACATAATACCAATACTTGAAATGAACTCCTAACCCTAAATTGGACTGATCTATTAATATATAGAAAAAATAATGTTAATATAAGTAACAAGAAACAACTTCTCCCTGCAGAAGTTTATATTAGACCAAATAATTCACTGATATTAACTATGTAACACAAAAAACTCAACAATTATTGACTATATTGTTAACCCAATAGTGGCATGCACTTAAGAAAAAGATTTTAAAAAGTAAAATGAGGACTGGGGTTGTGGCTCAGTGGCAGAGCACTTTCCTACCATGTTTGAGGCCCTGGGTTCGAATCTGAGTACCACATATAAATAAATAAAATAAAAGTCCACTGACAACTAAAAATATATATATAAAACAGAAATAAAAGGAAATTGGCAAACACTAACACCACCAGTTTACCAAAACATCACTTCTAGCATGAACACTATTAGAGGCAGAGCTTGCCCAGTGACATATATTTAATGGTGGAAGTATCCTGACCTTGCAAAGGTAGCATAATCACTTGTTCCTTAAATAGGGACTTGGATGAATGGTATGACACAGTTTAATTGTCTCTTACTTGTAATCAGTGAAACTGACCTTCCCATGAAGAGGCGGGAATGAATTAATAAGAGGAGAAGACTTCAGGGAGCTTCAATTTAATAGCCTAAGCTCTCTCAACAATAATCCCTTGGGGGCCTAAAACCCTGACTATGTGCTAAAAATTTTGGTTGGGGTGACTTTAGAGTATAAATCAAAAAGAATTTAAGCCAAGACTTGAAACTAGATTATAATCCAGACACCAACCTGTCTAAATTTTAACTCATTAATTGACCCAAACTATTTGATCAATGGAAAAAGCTACTATAGAGATAACAGTGCAAACCCAGTCAAGAGGTCATATCCACAGTTAAGGTTTACTACCTTGATGTTGGATCAGGACATCCAAATGGAATAATCAATATTAATGGCTCCTTTGTTCAACAATTAAAGTCCTATGTGATCTGAGTTCAGACCAGAGAAATCCAGGTTGGTTTCTATCTATTAAATAATTCCCTGGATGAGAGGACAAGAGAAATAAGGCCAATTCTACACGCATGCCTTAAGATAATAGAGGAAATAATCTAATTCTAGTATTTTTTTTACTATTTTATTTATTTATTTTAATTTTATTATTACCCACCCTGCCCTAGAGCAGCATCTGTCAAGACGGCAGAACGCGGCAATTGCAAAAGACATCAAACTTCATTACCAGGGGTTCAACTCTTCTTCTTAACATGTATATATTTAGTAGACTTACTCCTCCTGATTGTCCCACTCTTAGAGACCGTGGCTTTCTTAACTCTAACAGTACAAAAAATGCTGGTTTATACACAACTTCAAAAAGGCCCAAATGTTGTAGGACCCTATGGCTTACTTCAAATGTTTGTTGATGCAGTAAAATTACTTTTTAGAGAGCCACTCAAACCTCTAACATCTTCCATCATTTTATTTATTATTGCTCCCTCCCTAGCCCTTACTCTGGCATTTACAATATGAATCCCCTACCCATGCCACAACCCTCACTAATATAAACATAGGAATACTCTTTATCCTTGCAACATCAAGCTTAGCTGGATATGCAATCTTATAATCAGGATGATTCCAAATATGCCTTAATTGGAGCACTACAAGCTGTAACACAAACCATCTCCTATGAAGTACTCCAATATTATTATAATAAAAGCTTTAACCACAACTCTTTTTATAGGAGCACTCTTTAACCCACCAATCACTGAAATCTTCACATTTAGTTTTGCCCTAAAGACCTTAATCGTCGATATTTTTATGAATTTGATCATGATACCCAAGATTCTGATACAACCAACTCATGCACTTATTATCAAAAAACTTCTCACACCAATATTAACTTTATATATGTGACACATCTCCCCACCCATTTTTGTAGTATGTGTACCCCTCACACCTAAAGAAATGTGTCAACATAAGAGTTTATTTTGATAGAGAAAATAACAGAGGTTTAAATCCTCTTATTTCTAGAACTATAGGATTTGCACTTAACCCTAAGAATCCAAGATTCTTCATGCTACCTGATACACCATGTCCTACTAGTAAAGTCAGTTAAATAAGCTATCGGGCCCATACCCTATAATGTTAGTTTATAACCCCTTAACTCGCTACCATTTATCTAACCATATTTTCAGGAACTTCTATAACACTATTTAGTTCCCTCTGACTATACATCTGAGTAGGATTAGAAAAAAGCATACTAGACATTATTCTTATTTTAATTAACAAAGTGAACCTCTGATCAACAGAAGCTACATCCAAATGTTTCTTAAGCCGGGCCAGAGGATCAATAATTTTAATAATAGATGCTATGACTAACGTTATAGACACAGGACAATGAACTTTAATCAACTCCAACAACCAAATCTGTTCCCTAATATTTGCTGCAGTGCTATCAATAAAAATGGGATTAGCCCCATTCCATCAATGAGTCCCAGGTTACTCAAGGAGTCACACTTACATTCAGGATTAATTCCACTAACATGACAAAAATTGCACCAATTTAAATTATCTTTCAACTTGCTCCCTCAATCAACTTTTCCTTAATAATAACAATAGTGATACTGTCCTTATATCAGGAGGATGAGGAGGACTTAACCAGACCCAACTATGAAAAATCTTGCATGTTCATCACTTGCTCATGTAGGCTGAACAATAGCAATCATCACATTCAACCCCACACTATGTTTTAGCTAATTACTTTGATTATGCTTATAATCAACATATTCATGTTATTCCATTACAATAAAAAACCACCACCCTCTCACTCTCAATATATGAAATAAATTTCCTCTAATAACTTCAATAATTCTTATTTTACTTATATCCCTAGGTGAACTTCATCCATTAGCTGGGTTCACTCTAAAATGAGTTATTATTAAGGAACTTGTATCAAATAATAACTTTATTATACACATAAAGATCAATAACAGCCCTGCTAAACCTATATTTCTACAGAAGACTTATCTACTTACCATCCCTAACATTATTTCCATCCTCCAATAATACTAAAATAAAATGACAATTCGAAAGTACAAAAACAACCCACCTTTATACCAACCCCTATAATTCTATCTACCCTATCCCTCCCCTTACACCCCTATTATCAATCTTCAGCTAGAAATTTAGGTTGAACTTAGAACAAGAGAATTCAAAGCAATAAGTAAGTTCCTGCTGTAAGGACTGAAAGACTTTATCTTATATCAACTGAATGCAAATCAATTACTTTTATTAAGCTAAGCCCTTAATTAACGCATTTCACTAGATTTATAGGATTTGAACCCATAAAAATTTATTAATTTTTTTTCTGATTCATTTTTTTTAATTTTTTTTTATTGGTTGTTCAAAACATTACAAAGCTCTTGACATATCATATAGACTACTGATTTGAGCTGAACTAGGTCAACCCAAAGACTTGTTAAGGGATAATCAAATTTATAATGTAATTGTAACTGCACATGTATTCGTAATAATTTTATTTATACTTATACCTATTATAATTGGTAAGTTCAGAAACTGACTAGTTCCCCTTATCACTGTAGCCGTGATATAGCATTTCCTCGAATAAATAACATAAGCCTCTGACTCCTACCTCCATCATTTCTTCTCCTTCTCGCCTCCTCTGTAGTTGAAGCAGGCACAAGAACCGGTTGAGCAGTATATCCCCCACTAGCTGGGAACCTTGCACACACAGGAGCCTCAGTAGATCTATTTTCTCACTCCACTGAGCAGGTGTTTCATCCATCCTAGGGGCAATTAATTTTATTACTACCATTATGAACATAAAACCCCCTGCCGTATCACAATTCCAGACTCCACTCTTTGTATGAGCAGTAATAATTACAGCCATGCTACTCCTCCCATCCCTCCCAGTTCCTGCAGCAGGAATGTCCATACTCCTCACAGATCCTAACCTAAATATGATGTTTTTCGACCATGCCGGAGGGAAAACCTATGCTTTATCAACACCTATTCTGTTTCTTGGACATCCAGAAATATACGTTCTGATTCTATTCTTTTGGATATATGGGATAGTTTGAGCTACAACATCCATTCGCTTTTTAGGATTCATCATATGAGCACACCATATACTTACTGTAGGAATGGCTGTGGTCACCTGAGCATACTTCACATCAGCAACCATAATTACGGCTATTCCAACCAGAGTTTTCAGCTGACTGGCAACTTTACACAGTGGCAATATTAAAGGGCCCTGGGCTTTGTTTGCCTACTTACTGTAGGAGGCCACACAGGAATTGTTCTAGCTGACTCAGCAATAGACATTGCATTACATACTACATATTATGTAGTAGCTCATTTTCACTAAGTCCTACCCATGGGGCTGTGTTTGCAATAATGGGACAATATGTTCATTGATTCCCTCTGTTCTCTGGTTATACCCTAGATGCTACATGAGCTAAAATTCACTTCACTTTTATATTGTAGGAGTGAATTTCAATTTCTTCCCAATACTTTTCCTAGGATTATCTGGCATACCACAACAATACTGACTACCCAGACATGTATACAACATGAAATACTGAATCCTTCAAAGGGTCATTTATCTCTCTTACAGCTGTAATAATTATAATTGTTATAATGTGAGGGGCATCACATCAAAACGAGAAGTCCTAATTTTAGACTGTCAACAACTAACCCGGAGTGACTGCATGGATCCCTCCACCTTACCACATTTGAAGAACCAACCTATGTTAAAACATAATTCAAGAAAGAGAAGAATCCAAACTCCTATGACTACTTTCAAGCCAGCCCCATAACCATTATAACTTTCTTTATAAGATGTTAGTGAAAATTTACATAACTTTGTCAAAGTTAATTTATAGGTTAGAATCCTTTTTATCTTCATGGCTTACCAAATTGAACTAGGATTTCAAGATGCTACATCATCTATTATAGAAGAACTATTACACTTTCACAACCAGACACTTTTAATCCTATTCTCGATCAGCTCCGTAGTTCCTGATATTATCTCCCTTATACTTACCTCAAAACTCACTCACACAGGCACCACAGATACTCAAGAAGTTTAGACCATCTGAAGTATTACATTCACATTAGCCTCATTATAATTGTGCTTCCCTCATTACAAATTTTATGTAGAATGGATGAAATTAATGACCCTTCCTTAACAGTAAAAACAACAGGCCACCAATGATATTGAAGCTGTAAGTATACAGATTATGAAGACTTAAATTTTGATTCTTACCTGGGTTCCACCTCTTACTTAAAACCTGGAGAACTACAACTTCAAGCAGTTGATAATCAAATAGTTCTACCTATAGAATTACCAGTACGCATGTTAATTTCATCAGAAGATGTTCTTCACTCTTGAGCAGTTCCATCCCTTGGACTAAAAACCTTCCAGGTTGACTTTCCCAAGCTTCCCTAACATCAACATGACCCAGATTACATTACAGACAAGGCTCAGAGATCTGTGAGCCTAATCTCAGCTTCATGCCAATGGTCTTTGTATTACTTCCACTGAAACACATTGAAAACAGATTTTCATCAATATTATAAATTCTTCATAAACCATTAACCTTTTAATTTCAAGATTAGAAGCTTAAATCTCCTCTTAACAAGATGCCCCAACTAGATACATCAACATGACTTATTACCATTATTTCTATAATTTTCACCCTATTTATCTTATTTCAACCTAAAATCTCAAACCATTCATACCCCTAGTTTAACCCCTCACCAAAAGATTTGAAATTGATTGAACATAAGACCCCTTGAGGAAAAAAATGAACAAAAATTTTTTTGCCTCTTTCATTACTTCTACAATAATAAAATTATATATTGATATCCTCATTATCTCACTCCCCAATATTTTACTGCCTTTACCTAATTGCCTTATCAATAATCAACTAGTCTCATTTCAGCAATGATTAATTCAGCTCTTACTAAGGCAAATGATGATGATACATAATCCAAAGGGATGTGCCTAATTTAATAGTCATCTCATTAATTATATTCATTGGACCAACAAACTTACTTGGACTATTACCTCACTCTTTTACACCCATCACCCAACTCTCAATACATCTAGGAGTAGCAATTCCTCTAGGAGCCAGTGCATACATTAGGGATAGGAGATTAGTTTGGATCCCATGCTGGCTTGGGATCTGCTCTGCTGCAGGTCCCATAATGAGGAATTGCCTCCCACAAGGCTCCTAGAGGGGCCCGCATGGTAAACTCTGGTCCCTGCCAACCCAGTGGAGAAGGAAGGAGGGAGCAAGCCTCATGCTGACTGGCAGCAGGAGACTGGAGTCTCCCTTGGTACCTGTAGCTCCCTGCCAGGTACTCCTGCGCTCCCTAAGGCCAGAACCCCCAAGTCTGCACTGGTGAGTCATAGCTGACTCACCTGCCCGCCTACCTGCCCCTGACCCCAGCCATGGCCCCAGCCCAGGGCCCAGCCCCAACTCACCCTCAGCTGTCGAAGGAAGAAACTCCCAGCTCTCCAGGCGGTGTCTCCAACAGCAAAACACACGCAGAATCACAAGAACCACATTTGCAGCAACACAGAGGCCTGGATGGCGGGTGGGGGGGTCCTAGAGGCACATGGCTGGGGCTTTGGGCATGGCTGGCCATAGGGGAGGAGCCAGATCTTCTGGTCCAACATATAGGGGTCACATAGAGGAACTGTCAGGAAAGACACTTGGGGCAGAGGTGGGACCTGGAGCTGGAACCAAGGTTATGCCTGGCTAGATTTTGTAAGTTGTTTTGTTTGTTTTTGTTTTTATTTTGTTGTGGTTTTGGTGCTAGGAATCAAACCCAGGGCCTTGTGAATGCAAGGCAAGCACTCTACCAACTGAGCTATATCCCCAGCCCCATCCATTAAGAAGATGAAAGGTCATTTGCAGGAAAGTGAATGGAACTGGTCATCATCATGTAAAGGAAGTCACACTCAGAAAGACAAGTGTTGATGGTCTCTCATGTGGACTCTGGGCATGGGGAAAGACAATATGAAAGTAGTAGGTGGACCTTCAGGTAAGGGGAAGAGGACCACGGTCATAGTGAAGGGGTTACAGAAGATAATAGGGAAGGAGGATGTGATCAAAGCATGTTATATGCATATGTGGAAATCTCATAGTGAATCTCATTATTTGGCATAATTAATATGCACTAATGATTATAATTATTGTAAACACAACATTTTGAAACTATTTCTAACAATTGAATACTTCTTTTAGTGATTCTTTCATGAAATATTATCTACAAGACTTCCTTAATGACTATTCCTAAATTATTCAAAACTTATGATCATTCATGAGATTTTGTTTTTCAAATCATTAAACCAGCTGAGAGAATACATCTTAGACCATGCTAAATACGGTTATAGCAGATTTTTTTCCATCACTGGGCTAGAGTGCTTGGTTAGAAAGCCTAAGTCTTCACATTCCATCACCAGCACTACAAAACACTTTAAAAACTTACAACTAGAAATACTGAGAAAAATAAGAATACATAATTTTATTATAGAAAAAGTCAATAAAAAATCCAGATACCTCCCACCCTGAAAATTAAATTGACTCTTCACTAGAGCCAGGAACAGGAATAGCAATTCCCCTAGGATCCGGTGCTCTATCCTATCTAAAATTCACTACTATCTTTGGGTTCTTTTCCTCATTTTTGAGTTTGAAATATTCTTACTGTTAAACCTAAAAGACTGTTGTATAGATTAGTGTAGTGTGATGTACTTTATTCTTCTTTTTAAAATGCATTTTTATAGGGGAAAAAGATATCATTGGGATAGCTGTCTTGAATAATAGGTTATATTAGAAAACCCCCACAAGGGATAAGATTCTTTGAAGAAAATTCAAACAAACAATCTTCATTTGTAGTAATGCAATGAAATTTTACAGAAAACTTAAAAGGCAGTTTCAGGGATAGGAGTGTAGCCCATTGACAGAGCATGAAGTCCTGGGCAAGTCCCCAACACTCCTCCAAATATCAATATATGATCTTTAATGAGAATAAAATGTTTTCTGATATGATTTTTATTTGTGCTTTGGTGGAAGGTGGGCAAGGGAAACGACTTTTTTTTTTTTTTTTTTTAAGATTTCAGTAACTGGATTCTTTGAGTCCCTCCCACATCTGTGCAGGCATCACCCTGGGTCCCAAGGCTCCAAAGCTTGGGCTTCAGTGGTATCCAGGCCAAGTTTACTTACCCCAGTGCTGCACCTTCAGAGGCCAGAAGCTTCGGCTACAGCAGAGGGTGAAGTACCCTGTGAAGAGCATGGTGATGCCACCAACCCAGCTCTTCCTCACTGTGGTGTTGCACCAAATCCAGCCTCTGCACACAGCTCCCAAGAGTCTCCTCAGAGGAAAGATAGAGGTGGTAAGCATGGTTGGGGGTTACAAATTGCTTAAACCAGTCAAACTTCATCCTAACAAAGGAACTTGTGAGAGGCTTTGCCCCTGAGGACTGGAGAGCTGAGGCCTCTGGGCCACTGAGTTCCAATACTGAGGCTTCCCGGGCAACACCCCTAGTCCAAGAGAACCAGGATAGAGCTCTGGAAACCACTCCAACCCCATGAAGCTGGGAAGGGTCTTTCTGTCATCAGAACCAATATGACTGACTGAGAAAATCACTTTTTAGAAAAGAGATGCATGCAGAGACTGCAGCATCTACTGCACAATTCTGGGACTGAGAGCCAGAGCTCGAGTCTTAATCTCCACTAATAACTTCAAATCAGGGACTTGCTGATAACTGCAGAATGGCACTTTCTCTTCTTGAAGAAATTTCAGTCAGAGAAGCAAGACTCACTCTAAGCTGCCTCGTTTGGAGCTAACATATTTGAAAGAGGACCTGCATCTTCCAGCTTCCCCTCTGTGGCTGAAGCGCCAGTGTTGAAGTGCTCAGAGCCATGGCTCAATGGTGCCGGCTCCTGCATCTCTGTGGCAGACACACTTTCCTCTGCATTCTCTTTGCTCCCACAGGCTTCTGCTCCAAGGCCAAATCCTTGGTTCTGGTTCTCCCTGACTTGAATTTCAACAAACCGGCTAACTCTAAGGCCTAAAACAGGTGATGCTGAATTCTCTTCCCAGGACTCAGTGTCAGCAGAGCCTAAGATGATTCTTTCACATGATGTGGAGTAACTAACTGCAGACCCATCCATACACTCTTATTTCTAATTTGAAATCTCAGAAGTGTTAAAATCCATTTGTGGGGTGGAATGGGGGGACTCATTTGATGGACAACATTGACGTGGTCTGAATTGACTTGGCAGCAAAACCTAACCTAAACTAACAGCTTGTATAAACATATTTAAGATATTTTACTATAAAATCAATTTGACTATGGGTGCTATGCCAAATCTAACTGGAAGTGTTTATATAATACCCAAAAAATGTTCAAAATACATATTACTTTTTTCTTGGTTCTTTTCAGTTATCCGTGATAATAGAATTCATTTTGACATAATAACAAAAGCAATGGAATATAATTTGTTCAAATTCAGTCCCCAGTACTTCCTCTTCTCCTATCCTCCTCCCTCCCCATGTTCCCTTCCTTCTACTTGACTGATATTTCTGCTATTTATTTATAGTTTTTTTTTTTTTAAATTACTGTCCTGTGCATGTGCATGATAATGAGATTCACTGTGGTACAGTCACACATGTACATAGGAAAGCTAGGTCAGGTTCACTGCACTGTCTTTCCCTATCCCAGCCCTCCCCTTCAGTCCCCTTTGTCTACTCCACTGCTCTTTCTTCTATTCTTTTTTTTTCTTCAGCCTTCCTTATTTTGGATTAGCTTCTGCATATCATAAAAATATTTTACCTCTTACTTTTGGGGACTGGCTTATGTCTCTTGGTATGATAGTCTCCAGTTCCATCAATTAACTGGCAAAGACTACAAAGTCATTCTTCTTTATGGCTGAATAAAAGTCCGTTGTGTATATATGCCATGTTTTCTTTATCCATTCATCTGTTGAAGGGCACCTAGGTTGGCTCCATTCCTTGGCTATTGTGAATTGTGTTGCTATAAACATTGGTGTGGCTGCCTCCCTGTAGTATGCTGATTTAAAATTTTTTGGATATATATACTGAGGAGTAGGGTAACTGGGTCATATGAGGGGTTCCATTTTTTTATTTTTTTTCCTACTGCTTTGGAGAGATTGTGCTACTTTGCAGTCCCCATCAACAATGTGTGAGTGTACCATTTTCCCCACATATTCGCCAACATTTGTTGTTTGTATTCTTGATTATTGCCATTCTGACTGGAGTGAGATGGTATCTCAGTGTAGTTTTAATTTTCAATACTCTAATTGCTACAAAAGTTGAACACTTTTTCATAAATTTCTTCTTTTGCCCATTTGTTGATTGGATTATTTGCCTGTTGCTGCTGCTGTTGTTGTTTTATTTTGGTGTTAACTTTTTTGAGTTCTTTGTATGAACTAAATATTATTGCTCCATCTGAGGAGCGGGTGGCACAATTTTTCTCCCATCCAGTTGGCTCTCTTTTCACACACTTAATTGTTTCATGGATTAGGTTACTGAGGACTGACATGTCTGAATAGCTGGCCACAAGACCTTGTGGTGCTGGGGATTGGACCTAGTGCTTCATATGTGCTAGGAAAGCACTCTACCACTGAGCTACACTGGCAACTCCATGAAAAAGATTTTTCATTTGATGACATCCCATTTGTTTATTTATTTATTTTCCTTTTTTCACTTTTAAGAGTCTTTTAGGGAACTCGGTTCCTGAACAAACATACATGTTGGAGTATTGGGACTATATTATCTTCTAGGAGTTGCAGGGTTTCTGGTCAAAATCCTAGGTCTTTGATCCACTTTGAGTTTTGTGCAGGGTGAAGGACAGGGGTTAAATTTCATTCCACTACATATGGATTTCCAGGGTTTCCAGCACCTTTCGTTATCTTTTTTCCAATGTATGTTTTTGGCATCTTTGTCTAGTATGCGATAACAGTATTTATGTGGATTTCTCTCTACGTCATTACTCCATTGGTCTTCATGCCTTTTTTGGTGACAGTCTCTCTTTCTTACTCTGTAGCATAATAGCTCTGTAGCATAATTTGAGTCCTGTATTGTGATGCTTCCTGCTGTGCTGTTCTCACTAAGGATTGCTTTGGCTATTCCTGGTTTCTTATTTTTCTAAATGAATTTCATAACTAATATTTCCAGTTGAATGAAGAACATCATTGGAATTTTGATGGAAATTGCACTGAATCTGTATAAAGCTTTGGGAAGTATGGCTATTTTGACAATATTAATTCTTTCTGTCCAAGAACATGAGAGGTCTTTCCATCTTCTAAGGTATTATTCAATACTTTTTCTTAGTGTTCTATAGTTTACATTGTAGAAGTCTTTCACTTCTTTTGTTAGATAGATTTCCAAGGCTTTTTTAAAATTTTTTCTTTGTTTTAATTAGTTATACATGAGAGTAGAATGGATTTATGCACTTGATATATCATACATAGATGTGATACAATTTCTCATTTTTCTCAGTGTACATGTTGTAGAATCGTATTGGTCATGCAGCCACATATATGCATACAGTAAAAATGTGAGTTTTGTTCTACTATCTTTCCTATCCCCACATCCCCTCCCCTCCCCTCCCTTCACTTTCCTCTACCTAATCTAAGGTAATGCTATTCTTCTCTAGAGCCCCCAACCACTTATTGTGAATTAGCATCTGCATATTAGAGAAAACATTCGGCCACCTCTACCATTCAGGACCCCCGTCCACCACTCTCACGCAGGCCCCTGGCAGCCACTTCTGTGTGGACCCCCATCTACCAGCATGGGGCTCCCCCAGTAGCCTCCATTTTGGGACACTGCAACCACTGCCATAGTTCCCTGCACTTGGGGACACTGGACAGGGTCTGGAGATAGCTTCCAGCCACAACACTGCACACCCAGAGCTGCATCTTCAATGCCACTCAATGCCACCACCCAGCCCAACCTGACATCCCATCTCTGAAACCACCACCTCGAACTTGGGACACCTTTGTCACGATATTTAATAGGGGCAACACTCAGCTTGGAACACTGGCAGGGTGGTAGAAGCAATATCAATTTAACTATAGTCCCCAACTCTCCCGCTCCCCCGCAGCCACTAATTGGGAACAGTGCTTGCAGCTATGTGGCTGGTCAGTAGCTCCCAAAGACTGGTCAGATATGCCCAATATAAAACAGCTCTCTGTGACTAGTGCGACAAGTGTGAAGGCCTCAGAGCACAGCCCACAAGACCTCTGGAAAGATCAGCTCCTGATTGGGAAGTAGATAGGGAGGAGGTGAGTGATACAGTTTAGAGGGTAAAGTAAAGGCCAGGAATTGTGAGGCCCACAGGTGATATAAAGAAGTCAGACCAGGCGCTCACATCAGTCTCCCAATGAGGACCAGCAAGTGCTATACTCCACCTCCAGGAGTTCCACCACCAAAACTAACCCTCCCACCCTAGTAACCTTCAGCACCCTGAGGGTGGAGATACCAGCAAACAACAAACAACCCCACCTAGTGGATGAGAAGGGAAGCAAGAAAGATAGTGAACTCCAACAGAAACAGTCATGAGATTTTCTTTCCAGATGTTTTTTGTTTTCTTTCTTTCTATTCTTTTTTCTTTTCTTTTTCTCTCTTCTCCTGCCCTCACATCCCCAACACTTGCAAAACCAATTATTTTTCATGGATTAGGTTACTGAGGACTGAGATGCCTGAATAGTATATTACAGTTGGGTTATATATGTTTATTTTTCGTTTTTACATTTTTTTATTTTTCCTAACATTTATGTTTGGTTTTTGTACTATCTCTATTGTCTTCCCACTTACTTGTCTCCCCCAAATCACTTTCTCTCTCTTCTGCTATTAACCAACTTCTTTAGATTCCTCTTTTTTTTTTTTTAAGAGAGAGGAGAGGGAGGGGGAGAGAGAGAGAGAGAGAGAGAGAGAGAGAATTTATTTATTTATTTTTAGTTTTTCAGCGGACACAACATCTTTGTTTGTACGTGGTGCTGAGGATTGAACCCAGGCTGCACGCATACCAGATGAGCACGCTACCGCTTGAGCCACATCCCCAGCCCCAAGATTCCTCTTTCTAAGATCTAATAAATAACTAATAATAATTTAAAAATAACTAATAAATAACTCTGTATCCTCATCTCCTACCCCCTTAACATCTGATCCTGCACCTCACCCCCAGTTCTGTCTCTGCCCAGCATCAGAAACTGTAGATCTTTTTGCAAACCTACTGTTTATTTTCTAGCTAATAATTGAACTCACCATTTCTGTATATTGTGACAAAACCATAAAAATCTTAATAGGAGCTATTTAAGTCTACATATTTTTTGTATTGGGATCTGTTAATATTGTTCTCCCCCTTAAATGAGAGGTATTGGAAACCTGCAGGGACACTATTAGCCAATAGTAAGCCTAAGGTCAACACCATTCCAAATGGAAAAAAAATTGAAAGCATTCTCTCTAAAAATTGGAACAAGACAGGGATGCCCTCATTCACCACTTCTATTTAACATAGCCCTTGAAACTCTAGCCAGAGCAATTAGACAGATGAAAGAAATTAAAATTAAATTAAAATTAAAATTAAATCACTATTTGCTAATCACATGAATCTATACTGAGACAATTTGAAAAATTCCACCAGAAAACTCTAGAACTAATAAATAAATTCAGCAAATTAGCAAGGTATAAAATCCACACCCATAAATCAAATGCATTTCTGTACATCACTAATGAGAACTATCCCATTTATAATAGCTTCAAAAAATAAAATAAAATACTTGGGAATCAACTTAATGAAAGAGGTGAAAGATCTCTACAATGAAAACTAAAGAACACTAAAGAAAGAAATTAAAGAAGATCTTAGAAGATGGAAAGATCTCCCTTGTTCTTGGATAGACAGAATTAATATTGTCAAAATGACCATACTACCAAAAGCACTATACAGATTTAATGCAATTCCAGTCAAAATATCAATGACATTCCTCATAGAAATAGAAAAAGGTGTCAGGAAATTCATCTGGAAAAATGAGGGACCCAGAATAGCCAAAGCAATCCTTAGCAAGAAGGCTGAAGCTGGTTCCTTCACAATACTAGACCTTAAACTATGTATACTACAGCAATAGTAACAATAATGGCATGGTATTGGCATCAAAATAGGCTTGTACACAATCGTACAGAATAGAGGATACAGAGATAAACACACATAAACACAGTTACCTCATAGTAGACAAAGGAGCCAAAAACATGTATTGGAGAAAAGATAGCTTCTTCAACAAATGGTGCTGAGAAAACTGGAAATCCATATGCAGCAAAATGAAATTAGCCCCTATCTCTCACCATGAACAAAACTCTACTCAAAGTGGATCAAAAACCTAGGTATTAGACAAGAGACCCTACGCCTACTAGAAAAAAAGATGGCCCAAATCTTCATCATGTCAGATTAGGCCCCTACTACCTTAACAAAACTCCTAAAGTTCAAGAAATAAAATCAAGAATCAATAAATGAGATGGTTTCAAACTGAAAAACTTCTTCTCAACAAAAGAAACAATCACTAAGGTAAATAGAGCCTTAAGAATGGGAGAAAATTTTTACCACGTGCACATCAGATACAGCACTAATCTCCAGAACATATAAAGAATTCAAAAACACTAAAAAAAAAAAAATAAATAAACCAACCAATAAATGTTCTATTTATTGAGCTGAACAGACAATTCCCAGAAGAATATATATAATCTATCTATAAATACATGAAAAAAAATGCTCAACATCTCTAGCAAATAGAGAAATGCAAATCAAAACTAGTCTTAAGATTTCATCTCCAGTCAGAATGGCAGTTATTAAGGATACAAACAAAAATAAGGGTTGGTGAGGGTGTGGGGGGAAAGGCACACTCTTACATTGCAGGTGAGACTGCAAATTACTGCAAACAATCTGGAAAGCATTATGGAGATTCCTTAGAAAACTTGGAATGGAACCACCATTTGACCCAGCTATCACAATGCATGGTTTATATGAAAAAGGACTTAAAAAACAGCAAACCACATTAATGTTTATAGCAGCACAATTCATAAAACCAACTTAAATGCCCTTTAATAGATAAATGGATAAAGAAACTGTGGTAAATATACACAATGAAATAATACTCAGCATTAAAAGAGAATAAAATTATGGTATTTGCAAGTAAATAGTTAGAGTTGGAGGATATCAAGCTCAGTAAACCAAACATAGCCCAAAAAAAACAAAGTCTGAATCTTTTGTCTGTTAAGTGGATGCTGGTCCATGGCAGAGGGGGGTGAAAAGCAGGAGTTGGCGGGAGTGGTGGGAATAAAACTTCCAAGGGATGTGGGGGTCAGTGTTGGGGATGGCTGTGGACACGTATGGAAATGTCATGGGGCTGGAGGAGGGGCAACAATAGCCCAGAGGGACATATGTGGGCTTCTCTGGAGGAGGGGTCAGACCACGGACCCCAAGACATGGCCTCCCTTCCTTGGCGATAGATGCAAACAGAACTTGGAACCCAGTAACCAGGCACCCATATTCTAGCAACAGCCTCCTCCCCAGATCATTTGGTGAAATACTTTGGATGCAAAAGGATGTGTTCTGGCTTCCCCTGTGGAGGCCAACTCTTTAAGAGGCCAGGCCACCAGAGCTCTCCCTATGGCTGCACGGCCCCTTCCCCAGACCCCAACCCCAGGACGCCCCGCAGACGAAACATCATGGTGAGAATGGGGTGCTGGTTAAGATCCTGCTCCCAGCACCTCTGCCCTTGCATAAACAGACAAGGCAGGCCCACACGCAACAATCGAGGGCCGCTGAGGCAGAGACCATCCACCACCATGAGTAATCCTGAAATGGCTTCCTCCTGAGTTTGGGGGAACAGGGAGCTGAGGCAGGAGCAGCTATTGGGAGATTGTGAGCCAGGTGTCCTGTCATGGTCATCCCCAGGACAGGGATGGAGGTGGGTATTGGGAGTGTCTAGGCCTCATTCTGGCCCCCAGTGCCATCTCCTGTCTTCCTAAGGTAGAACTCAGGGACACGGGGTCTTCGAGAGATTTGGGGAGATCACCACTAGGGGCAGAAACACCCTGAACAGAGGCCAGGCAGGACCAGGGGCTCCCTGCCAGCTACCAGGCTCTCTGTTTACCTGCTCTCCACAGGTTCTCAAGGAGGACAGCAAGAGGGGCTTCCACTCAAGAGCAGTGCTGGAAGTGCCAGGGCCAAGCACCTGTGGGAACAAGCTTGGCCTCAGGGTGAGTGTGGGAGCAGGGAGGCCTGCACAGACCAGGCCTAGAGAAGAACAGAAGACCATACTGAGCCCAGACACCACCCTGAACACATTCCTTGTGGGGCTGGAAGGTGGAGGGGCAGAGTCCTGAACCATAAGGAATTTGAGCACCAACTCCTCACCCATCCCCACCTTCTCTGCCAGCCTTGGCCTTGGCCACATGCAAGGTCACTGTCCCCATATTAGAGACAACATCACAACAGTAACATTGACACTCTCACTTCCTTTCTCTGAAGATTTACATCCCACCATTCAGCTGATTATAACTCCTAGACCCAGGTGTCCAGGAGGCAGTGAACTGCCTGTCCTTCCACACACTCTCCAAGTCTTACACATTAACAGGATTAGTAGGGGGACATTTAGCCAAAACATCCGAGGAACTTTGCTACTTAGTCCATTTCTATGTCACTTGCTATATCAAGGAACACACCCCACAGTCTCAGAACAGGTGTTGGGGGTCCCAGCACTTTACCACCTTCCAGGTGGACTCAGTTTCCACAGCCATTCAGCCTTTCCCAGCATTGTGACCTGGACCTCATTCCCTCCTGGAGCCACTTTGACAGCATCACAGAGAATGATGTCCTGGGTGTCCTCACACAAGAACTATCCGGGATGAGCCTGTTTTCTCACCTCCAGAAGGTGATGTGCTGGTGGGACTCAGGGGATAATGCTCCTAATGCACAGAGCTGCCACCTCTTGAAATAAAACAAACTGGCCTGAAGCTGCTAAAGTAGCCAACTATTCCCTCAGCAATTCCACTTGAACTCTGCCAGCCATTGTTGTGCTGGGGCTCTCCTGTCCCCCTCTGGGACAATCCCCTTAGGGCTTTGGATTATGCACTGAACACCATCCCCAGATACATCTGGTGGGTCACACTTCAGCCATTGACTCTCCATCTCTTCCATGTCCCATTCCAGAAGGGAGAGGTGGCTAGAGGTAGATGATAGCAGCATGTTATATATGTTCCAGGCACAGTCCCTAGAGAGCTTGGAGGACACCCTAGAGCCAGACTGCCTAGATGATGACTCCTCTTTCACATCCAGCACCTTCCGGTCCCTCTACCGAAGAGGAGATGGACTTAATGTGGGGAAGGTAAGCCCTGCGCAGGGTGACAGAGTCACATAGAGCTGTGAGCCCTCGAACTGGCCCTGCACCTCTCTGAGCCCAGCCTGCTCCTTTGAACAGTGGGGTGACAAGAGTATCAACCTCATGGTCAGAAAGGCCAGGCCTCTCAGGCTGCTGTTTCCCCCCGCCTGCATTCCTCTAGGGTGGTGTCCTCACTCACTGGATTACAGCAGCTTCATAATCCTGCTCGGAACATCCATTGCCATGTCTATGTGACAGGCCATGACTTGGAAGGTGAAGACCACCACATCCTGGGCTTTATTGAAAACCCAGAGCCCATGGAGAGAAAGGCCAAATGTGAGAAGGTCTGGGTGGTGGCTGTGAGCATATGGAGATGGGACGGGGCTGGACATGCAGAGCACATCTTCCAGAAACATGGGAAGGACAGAAACAATGAGAAGCACAGCTGTCATTCTCTGCATGCATTCTGGGGACACTCTCAAGGGGTGCGTTTGTGTGTGGATCTCTGAGGAAGGCAGTGGAAAGCATTTTGTCCCTGGAAGGAACATGGATAGTTGGCAACTTTTACTCTGCTTGCACATGCAGGGCCACTTCTGGTGACTGAGGAGACAACTGGCCAATTTTCACCATCTGGGAGAGCACTACAGCTGGAAACGCCTGAAATGTCATCTACAGGCCAGCAGCTCCTGGTGACCCCTCCGCCAGCGAAACCCACTGAGCTCCCTCTTATACCTATTCCCATGCCAGAGGTGCTCTTGCCCTCTCCTGGCATTTATTTTTAATTCTTTTTATTGTATTATTTACTTATATATATTTTTAATATTAGCTTTTTCAAATTAAATATTTATTTGTTAAAGATTCAGTTTATTGGCATGAAGTACATTCTCAGAACACTGCACCTATCTCCACTATGTAGTTCCAGAACATTTTCCTGAATCTGGTACCCACAACCACTCCCATCTCCCCTCCCAGCAACCCCTCATCATTCTAGCCCTGGGATATGCCTAGTCTGCATTTTTCAAATCAGTGCAGTCTCATTTCTCTTTGATCACATAACGTTGGAAGGGACTGAAGAAGTTTATTTAGCAGGGTAAATGCCATACAGGTCTATGTTTATTGGCTTTTTTATTTTCTGTTGCTGGGTGTTGAACCCAGGGGTACGCTTTACCACTGAGCTATATCCCTGGTCCATTTTTCATGTCATGTCTTTTGGTCATAGCAAGGAAAAGCCTAAAGTGCACCAGTTCCCTCTTATCAAAGATTTTGCTTTCCATGTGCAGACAATATATTAAAATATAATCTACCATCATGTATATCTAAGATCAATTAAAATAAAAAGTGATTTCACTTTCTATTCTTTCACTTATCCATGAATTACCTATGTAATTCAAGATTGTAGAAATAAACAATGTATACTTTTAAAATTGCTCACCATTCTGAATAGAATGATGAAATCAGGCAATATCACCCTCCATCCTGACCATGAAGTGAATCATACCTTTGTCCAATGGATTCATGCTCTATAGGCTACCCACCCATCAGTATCTTGACAACCATTAGGCCATGAGATAAACTGGGGGGAATTGCACTGTTTCAGGCATCCACTGAGGATGTTGGAACAGATCCTCCAGCATAAGGGGTGACTGTGATCCTAAAATTAACAATGACCTCTTCATACTTTAATTAGTATTTGAAGTCCTTCTTTTGGAACCAAAACAATATTGGAACATGACTTTCTTGGAGGAAATTTTTTTTCCCCTAAACTTCTCTGATCTCTCAGCTGGGGAGACACAGGGTTATCTCATTTCTACTTTTCCACATAAAGCACTTCTTCTGCTAGGTACCCTGACATTGTCTGCCTTTTGCCCCATTCCCAACTCTGTGGAAAAGGGCATTCACTCACATCTCTCCCTCTTCCTTATAAGCTGCACACCACACTGGAATGTCTCCTTCAGTTCACTGTCCATGACCCCAGAAGATGGTTCCAGCATTGGTTCTGACTTGATTGAGACTTAACTTGATTGAGACTGTTCACACCTGTGTTCATCAGAGGACAGCAGAAAGATAATTGGACAGAGTTTGTGTGTTCATTCTCAGATCTCTGCTCTATGGGATTCTACTGGCATGTTTTAGTGACTGGAGGTGCAAGGAAATCACTTGATCTGGTAGAGATTTACAGGATGGAAAGTGCTCAGGGATTATGAGAGGCTGGGATTTACCCAACTGGATGGCACCAGGAGACAGTCACTGTAATCAAAACATTTTCCCCCAAAATTAACAACACTGATCCATGCTCATATACATGAAATATATATTAAACAAATGAAATATATATTAAATTCCATCTAATTGTATGGAATAACATTAGACATATCAATTGAAGAAATTCCCTACACCAAATCCAATCCTTCTTTGGGCAAATTAATAATTTCTGCGATTCATCAATATGGGCTGGTATTTTAGGGGAAAAGTAGAGGAAGTCAAATAGGCTTTCCAATAACAACAAAATAATTTCCAAAAAATAAATCTGCATTCCTTATTAGAAGGCTTTTGCTAACAGGAAAAGAAAGTAACTTCAAGAATGTTTGAAGAAGAACTGTTAAAAGACATAATATACTTTCCAAATTAGAAAATGAACAAAGACAAATGCAAATAAAAATTGATAATGTAGGATCCAAGGCTCAAAGTTCCAATTATTTAGGGAGATAAACATGATTTTTTCTTTTCAAAAATTTGTTCTATTTAGTTATACATGACACAGAATGAATTTTGATTCATTGTACACAACGGAGCACAATTTTTCATATCTCTGCTTGTACACAACATAGAGTCACACCAGATGTTCAGTCATACATGTACCTAGGGTAATGATGGGAGGGGACGGGGCATGGGGACAGGAAAGATGGTGAAATTAGATAAACTTAATTTTTAATATTGGTTTTTTCAGTTGTTGATGGACACAATAACTTTATTTATTTATTTATTTTTAATGTGGTGCAAGGATAGAACCCAGAGCCTCACACATGCTAGGAAGCATTCTATCCCTGAGCCACAACCACAGCCAACAAACTTTTTTTTTTTTTTTTGCATACGGAAAATTTGTACAGAATGTTAAGGCATCCTAATTTCCCCCATTGCATTAGAGATACATAAAATTAAAGTATCTTCAGATATTGAATAATTAAAAAATTAATTCAAAAAACATCTCGTGCAAAATACTCCATCACTGGATTTTGTATTAAATTCTGTAAGCATTTCATATGAATGGCCTTTATTGACATAAAATATCAATAGTTGTTATTAAAGTACCACCATCATTTTGGGAATCTTCTAAAAGTGATTGACAAATTTTGCTTAGTGAAATACATTTCACACCTGGAAGTCATTCTGACATATTATTTTTGAGCATCACAGTCACAGCAGTGTCCTGAGAAAGATGCTTTTTACCCAGTGCCAATTAATATAAAATTATTTAAAGTCATCACAGAGTCATGAGCAATTGTCAAACATGATAATTCTCTCCATTGAGAAGGAGAAGAACTAATAAGTATCCTTTTAAAACATATTATTTGCTTTCATAAAACCCAGGAAAGTAAAATTGTATTGAATTATAGTTTTGATATAAATGCAATATTGAAACAAAAAAAAATGTCATGAGTTTTACTTGACCCCCTTTAAATTCGCCACTTGTTTTTCAACTGCTTTCACCTGGGGGACAAGATAAACTCTAATTAATTATAAAAATAAGTGGGTCACCACCCACTGACACTTCCCCCTGGCCTTCCTCACCCCTCACCCTGGAAAGTCCTATGTTCACAGCTCATCAGTACAGCTACAGGACTGGGTCCATTCTGTCCCCAATTGGAGGTGTCCCTTTTTCTGTATGTGTCCTGGGGATTTCTCCCCAGAAACCACCTGCATGTGCACAAAACCTCACCTCCCTCCTCTGCTATGACGAGCCTCCACCTGAAATAAATGGGTCATTTCGTCCAAATGCTGCTGAATGCAATGTGAGGAAGGAAAGAACAAACCTTTGGGAATGGCCTACTTAAGAAATCGTCCACAAGCAGCGGCGAACAAAAGCACCTTCCTTGGGGATCAGAGCCTCCAAAATACCACCTCCTTGGCAAAGATGAGGCTCCCTCTACACAAGTGGAGGACAAGCTTCCAGGGCTGGGTTCTAAGGAAACCAGGCCCAGGCTCCACAGGCCTGTGCACCACCTGGGGCAGTAAGCGGGATTCGGCATCCTCTAGTGGCCATAGGAGCTCAGGGCAGTATCCTTGCCTTCATTGTGCAAGGTGAACTTGTGCTCCCCTGTGGCCTCCTGCTGATTAACTGGCAGAAAATTGAATCTTTTCATCTAAATTATTCACAGTCCTCTATTGGGATGCCTTTTCTTTCTGTTAGGCAGAATGACCCCATGTTCAAATCTTATATTTTGGGTCATACCTTTTGTTCTTGTTGCTTCAAGGTGAAGGTTGGTTAATTTTGCTGATCTTTTCAAAAAAATCAAATTTGGATTTCATGGATTCTATCAATGTTTTCCTATTCTCTACTTCATTATTCTTTTCTATTTTCTTTTTTTTTTTTTTTTTTGGTACTAAACATTAAACCTAGACACATCCTCATCCCTTTTTTAATATTTTTATTTAGAGACAGGGTTTTGCTAAATTTCTTAGGACCTCACTAAATTGCTGAGGGTGGCTTTGAACCCACAATCCTTCTGCCTCAGTCCCCTAAGCTTCTGAGATTTCAAGTATATGCCACTGCACCTGGACATTATTCCCAGTTATAATCTTTTTTGTTTTCCTCCTTCTTCTAAGATAGTGTTTAGTTTGGAATTTTTCTAGGTCATAATAAGATTACTGTCATGAAGAAAATGCAGAGTCCAACATGCAAAGGTAAAGATGCACAACATCTTTAGCCATTATAACAACGCAACTTAAAATCGCAATGAGAGGGGCTGGGGCTGGCTCAGTGGTAGAGCAACTGCCTTGCACCTGTAAGGCACCGGGTTTGATCCTCAGCACCACATAAAAATAAACAAACAAAATAAAGGTATTGTATCCATATACAACTAAAAAAATATATTAAAATTTTTTTAAAAAATCACAATGAGAGTCAAATGAGGTAAGGGATGTCTGTAATCCCAGATACTCAGAATGCTGGGGTTTGAGGATTATTAAGACCTAAGAGTAAGAGAAGAGACTAGGCAACATAACAAGACCCATCTCAACACACACACACACACACACACACACACACACACACCCTCAGTATACACCTCTAACAGTAGCACAAATGATGGTTATTTAATGATTTTCTTTACACTGAAAATTTATTCATATATTTATTTATTCATTTATTTTGGGGATGGGTTTCTCAGGCTGACCTCAAGTTTAGTCTTCCAAACTACTGGGGTTACAGGGGTGGACCAGCATACCTGGCTTTAACAATTAATTTTAAAATAAGTTGGTCATTCTCCCACGACACCATCCTGAGTCATTCCACCAGCATAGAGTCAAGAGTGCTCAGAGTAACCACGCTGAACAACAGTGACACCCCATCATTAGGGAAAGTTCAAGTATGTAAAGAACATCCCCTAGCAGTTGGGAAAAGTCCACTTAATTCTTTTGAATACAACAGGCCTTTGGCTATGTTTCTTTTTCTTGTCAAACACTGCACGGAAGAGGTTGGGAACGGTGCCAAGAGGCTTTCAACTCTACCACCCTGTAAACATGATTGCATTATCAGTATATGAAGACGTCACAAACATGGCCAGGGCTATGGTACCTCTCAGTATGGCAGGGGTGGCCTGATAATAAGAGTCAGAAGACATAGGCACATTATAGGCTCCCACTTGGTCATTATTGATCAGTCCAGTTCATTATCACATCAAATGTATAAAATGTCTCCCAGGGCAAGACCACCAGACTTTCTGGCTTCCACTGGATTTAGGTTTTAAAATAGAAGTTGTCCAGCCATATGGGGCCTCACCATTTTGGGTAACTGGTATGACTCAACTAAGAGACAATAGCATATCTTGATTGAGATTTATTCAAAATGTTAACATAATATTGGATCTCTCAGATGGTATAACCCATGCATTCATCCCTTTACTCACAGCTCTTAGATATTTTCCATCCTTGTGAGAAATACACAGGGAAAACACTTTGCTGGACTCTATTCCTAGCATCAGAATTCTAGTTCAGCCAGTGGCTCCCCATGAGTCCCTTCCCCTTTATTCAGTGTGGGAATATGTGGATGCAAAGCAAGTGGGCTAGCTCAGCCACTATGTAACCACCATATTGACTACAAACCCCATTTTTTCCAGATGGGGTGAAAGCAAAACCCACTGGATCAGACCCTATGAAATTGTAACATCAAGGTTTAAAAATCAAAAGGATATAAGAACAATGAGACCACCTTGGTCTCCACATGGAAAGAATGACTCATTTTACAAGAATCTCCTCATGAAAAAAATCCCATATGCTTATGAAATTATTCCTCACTGAATCTCCCATATAAGACCCCCTCAGTGGAACCCCTGCTTGGCCCCCTCATGTTGAATGAGAACACACACAAATGAAGGTGTGTAAGCTAGCACTTCCCACCTCTACTTCCCAATATTTCCATGGCTTCTTACAGTTCTCTACCAAACATAACTTAAAAATTTTTCTCCTGAGAAATTCACAGGACATTAGCATGTGTTCACAAAGAAAGGTCAGAACTCAGGATAGGGGAATGGGAATCGTGGAGCACAATTTATCCACCACAAGCTTCTCATGAAATCACAGGGAGTAATTTATTCAGACCCTGACACACCTTATTAAACTGACTCCCTCATTTAACTGCCTTCATTGTCTTCCTATTCATAAGTTAGAACTTTAGGTCAGTAGCCACATTCCCATGCAGAACAGAATGTATTGTCAGTTCCTTGAAACCAGATTGTGCACAAGTACATTTTTAAATACTAGAGCAATTTAGTAAATTTAATGCAAAACAAGTCTTTCTTTTTGGTCATGACCAGTTTATTGTGTTGCTTTCCCCCTAGGATTATGACCATGTATAGTGATTTTCTCAGTTAGCTAAGGCAGGGGACAGACTCTCCCTAAAGAACATGAAGAATGCAGATAAGCTTATATTATATTTCAACTACTACATCAACCACTGACATGCACCTTATGTAAGGTCCAGAAGGGATTTTTATGGGATACTTATGTTCCTGAAGGAATGTTGAATGGTGGAACAAACTGTGGTATCTCTATACCACGGAATACCACACAGCAATAAAAAGGAATGCACTGTTGACTCATGCATCCACTGGAATGATTGTAAGCACCTGAGTGAAAACATGAATCAATCTCAAATGACAAGTGTTAAATAAGCAGAAATGAATGGCTTTTGCTCCTGGATTCTGGGAGGAAGTCTAAATCCTTAAAATTTCACAAATAATACAAATATCATTATTTGTATCATAATTGTGATTCTGCTAACAGGTTGGATCTGATGCAAGAGAGGGAAGGTTGTTCACCACTCCTATGAGTTAGGGCTTTAACCAGCCCAACCTCAGGGCAGTAAAGGGAGATGGAGACTGAATTCAATCCCACATCCATTGATTTAATCAATCACATCTACATAATGAAACCAAAATAAAAGTTCTGGACACTGAATCTCAGTGGACATTTCTGCTTGGTGAATACAGTGATGGGCCAAGAGAAAGGTGTGCTGGATCCCACAGGGAGAGGGTCCTTGCTCAGACCCTCCTAGACTTCACCTGGTATATCTCATTATTTGGTTTGTCCTTGTTTATACCCTTTATAGCAGCACTTTAATCACCAGGATGCCATGACTTCTATGCGGGAGTCACATGAATCCCCAAATTAGTATCAGTTGGTCAGAAATGTAGGGCTCCTGAATAGCCCTGTAATACAGCCAGCATCTGAAGTAAAGGTAGCCTTGCTGGGGACTCTGCCCTTCGACTTGTGGAGCCTCAGCTCACTGTGATTGCTACTACCAGAGTCACAACGCAGTACACAAATTGGTGCCAATACACTCTCACATTATATCATTACATAATCACAGAGGGGCCAAACAGTAGCTTCCCTACTGACTACCCTGGGAGAGGCACACATTTGGCCTTACCTGAGAAAGGGCAGGAAGAGGCCATAGAGTTGAGTGCGGGGACAAAGGCCAGGGTCCCAAAAGTCCTGACCCTTCACTCATCTGTCCTATATCTGTTTTTGGTTTTGCCATTAAAAAAATAAAGTGACAATCACTGGCAGAGACCAGTTCTTGCACTCTCTTCTGTAAAAATATGGGCAACAATGTGGATAGACTTCTCTTCAGCTGGTCCGCCTCACAGGGTGTCTGCCCACTTGTCCCTTACACGGCTGCGAGCCTTGGTCAGGCCTTTGAAGGTAGCAGCATTGTACAGGTGCTTCTCAAAGCATGAAATTTTGCAGGCCTTCAGGGAAGTGTCATCCAGCACCAGCACTGGGCCCAGGCCAAAGAAGTCACGAAGAAGCTCATTGTTCTGAAGGTGGTGGTGCATGCCGGAACCCAGTACATCCTTGAAGGCAGCATAGATCTGGTGCTGAGCCCAGCTGTCCACATAGAGCACTTCAGTCCAAAGCGGATTGTCTCTTCCTGGCATTCACTGCCCTCAACAAAGTTCAGCACAGCACGGAAAGTAGAGCGTTGGCCTTAGCATGGTACTTGTTGCTGTCAGTGGCCAGAGTGCGCAGGGTACCACAGAGTGTCTCCATGTCCTCATAAACGATGTCCTCCTGGACATCAGCAGCAGCCACATAGCAACCCAAGCCGAGAGTGGAAACACAGTGGAGCTCAGCTATTTGAGCTGTCACTAAGCACAGAGATCAGCAGGGGCTGCAGGCTGTGGAACAGCTCCTCACCTTTGGGTACAGGGCCCATTTTCGCCATGCTAGCGAAGAGAAGAAGAGAGAGAACTCAAATTACTAACATACGGGATGAAAGAGGCAATATCACAACAGACACTTCAGAAATACAGAAGATAATCAAAAATTATTTTGAATCCTTATACTCCAATAAATTAGAAGATAGTGAAGGCATCGATAAATTTCTTAAGTCATATGATCTGCCCAGATTGAGTCAGGAGGATATAGACAACCTAAACAGACTAATATCAATTGAGGAAATAGAAGAAACCATCAAAAGACTACCAACTAAGAAAAGCCCAGGACCGGATGGGTATACAGCAGAGTTTTACAAAACCTTTAAAGAGGAACTAATACCAATATTTTTCAAGCTACTTCAGGAAATAGAAAAAGAGGGAGAACTTCCAAATTCATTCTACGAGGCCAACATCACCCTGATTCCTAAACCAGACAAAGACACTTCAAAGAAAGAAAACTACAGACCAATATCTCTAATGAACCTAGATGCAAAAATCCTCAATAAAATTCTGGCGAATCGGATACAAAAACATATCAAAAAAATTGTGCACCATGATCAAGTAGGATTCATCCCTGGGATGCAAGGCTGGTTCAATATACGGAAATCAATAAATGTTATTCACCACATCAATAGACTTAAAAATAAGAACCATATGATCATCTCGATAGATGCGGAAAAAGCATTCGACAAAGTACGGCATCCCTTTATGTTCAAAACTCTAGAAAAACTAGGGATAACAGGAACATACCTCAATATTGTAAAACCAATCTATGCTAAGCCTCAGGCTAGCATCATTCTGAATGGAGAAAAACTGAAGGCATTCCCTCTAAAATCTGGAACAAGACAGGGATGCCCTCTCTCACCACTTCTGTTCAACATAGTTCTCGAAACACTGGCCAGAGCAATTAGACAGACGAAAGAAATTAAAGGCACAAAAATAGGAAAAGAAGAACTTAAATTATCACTATTTGCAGAAGACACAATTCTATACCTAGCAGACCCAAAAGGGTCTACAAAGAAACTATTAGAGCTAATAAATGAATTCAGCAAAGTGGCAGGCTATAAAATCAACACACATAAATCAAAGGCATTCCTGTATATCAGCGACAAATCCTCTGAAATGGAAATGAGGACCACCACTCCATTCACAATATCCTCAAAAAAAAAATAAAATACTTGGGAATCAACCTAACAAAAGAGGTGAAAGACTTATATAATGAAAACTACAGAACCCTAAAGAGAGAAATAGAAGAAGATCTTAGAAGATGGAAAAATATACCCTGTTCATGGATAGGCAGAACTAACATCATCAAAATGGCGATATTACCAAAAGTTCTCTATAGGTTTAATGCAATCCCAATCAAAATCCCAACGGCATTTCTTGTAGAAATAGAGAAAGCAATCATGAAATTCATATGGAAAAATAAAAGACCCAGAATAGCAAAAACAATGCTAAGCAGGAAGTGTGAATCAGGCGGTATAGCGATACCAGACTTCAAACTATACTACAGAGCAATAGTAACAAAAACAGCATGGTACTGGTACCAAAACAGGCGGGTGGACCAATGGTACAGAATAGAGGACACAGAAACCAATCCACAAAACTACAACTATCTTATATTTGATAAAGGGGCTAAAAGCATGCAATGGAGGAAGGATAGCATCTTCAACAAATGGTGCTGGGAAAACTGGAAATCCATATGCAACAAAATGAAACTGAATCCCTTTCTCTCGCCATGCACAAAAGTGAATTCAAAATGGATCAAGGAGCTTGATATCAAATCAGAGACACGCCGTCTGATAGAAGAAAAAGTTGGCTACGATCTACATACTGTGGGGTCGGGCTCCAAATTCCTCAATAGGACACCCATAGCACAAAAGTTAATAACTAGAATCAACAAATGGGACTTACTCAAACTAAAAAGTTTTTTCTCAGCAAAAGACACAATAAGAGGGGTAAATAGAGAGCCTACATCCTGGGAACAAATCTTTACTCCTCACACTTCAGATAGAGCCCTAATATCCAGAGTATACAAAGAACTCAAAAAATTAGACAATAAGAGAACAAACAACCCAATCAACAAATCGGCCAAGGACCTGAACAGACACTTCTCAGAGGAGGACATACAATCAATCAACAAGTACATGAAAAAATGCTCACCATCTCTAGCTGTCAGAGAAATGCAAATCAAAACCACCCTAAGATACCATCTCACTCCAGTAAGATTGGCAGCCATTAGGAAGTCAAACAACAACAAGTGCTGGCGAGGATGTGGGGAAAAGAGTACACTTGTACATTGCTGGTGGGACTGCAAATTGGTGCAGCCAATTTGGAAAGCAGTATGGAGATTTCTTGGAAAGCTGGGAATGGAACCACCATTTGACCCAGCTATTCCCCTTCTAGGTCTATTCCCTAAAGACCTAAAAAGAGCATGCTACAGGGACACTGCTACATCCATGTTCATAGCAGCACAATTCACAATAGCAAGACTGTGGAACCAACCTAGATGCCCTTCAATAGACGAATGGATAAAAAAAATGTGGCATTTATACACAGTGGAGTATTACTCTGCATTAAAAAATAACAAAATCATAGAATTTGCAGGGAAATGGATGGCATTAGAGCAGATTATGCTAAGTGAAGCTAGCCAATCCCTAAAAAACAAATGCCAAATGTCTTCTTTGATATAAGGAGAGTAACTAAGAACAGAGTAGGGACGAAGAGCATGAGAAGAAGATTAACATTAAACTGGGATGAGAGGTGGGAGGGAAAGGGAGAGAGAAGGGAAATTGCATGGAAACGGAAGGAGACCCTCAGGGTTATACAAAAATTCATACAAGAGGAAGTGAGGGGAAAGGGGAAAATAATACAAGGGGGAGAAATGAATGACAGTAGAGGGGGTAGAGAGAGAAGAGGGGAGGGGAGGGGAGGGGAGGGGAGGGATAGTAGAGGATAGGAAAGGCAGCAGAATACAACAGACACTAGTATGGCAATATGTAAATCAATGGATGTGTAACTGATGTGATTCTGCAATTTGTATACGGGGAAAAAATGGGAGTTCATAACCCACTTGAATCAAAGTATGAAATATGATATATCAAGAACTATGTAATGTTTTGAACAACCAACAATAAAAAAATTTTAAAAAAAGTAGTATGATTCAATTTTTATAAAATTTAAAAAATAGGCATAAAAAAATAAATAAAATAAATAAAAAATGAAAAAAGAGAACCACAAACATTCCAAGGATGTATGAAGAAATGTGTGTGCACACTCACACACACACATACACATACACACACACAAAAAAATAACACCACAACTGGGGGCCAAAGTGGTATTCAACAGTGGGGATGGACCCTGGGAAGTAACAAAGGAAAAGGAGAAAGATGCTAGAGGCAGTACCTCCAGGGGACATGAGTAGCATATCCAGGATCCACAGTGTGGAAGGAGGAGAGATGGCAGGATTTCAGGGCTGGGAAATCCCTAAGGAAAACAAGGGGTATGCCTGTTCCTGGCTCCTCTACCACCAGCATGGGAATGTTTCTCTAGGAACACCTGCCTATTGTGGAGGGGATCCATGAGAAGCCACAGTTTCCTTCCTGACATAACATGGAGTTTGCCGCTGCTCACTCCAAGGATCACAAGGCTCACCAACCTCTAGCCCCTGGTGCACACAGGTCCTTGCCAAATGCTGTCAGCCTCCTGGAAGTCCTACAGAGCCAGCCAAAAACTTGGCAAGGACACAAGGTAGCAGAGCACTGACCCACTCATCCTTGGACAAGTCAAGGACCACCTTGTTGGAGGGTAAGACCCTGGAAGTGGCCATAGTGAAAAAGACTTGTAAGCAGGGGAAAGGGCAGCTCCTGCAGTCCCTCCTAATGCCCCTGGACACTGGTGTCCTGCTCCTTTGTGTCCTTGGCTCCTTCATAAAACGGAGGCCTTGAAATCACTCAAGCATAGACTTGAGAGGGATGCAGCCCTGCACAACCCTGGGCACAGTGTGCCAGAGGGAAGGATCAACTGTTCAGGAAGTCAAAGTCAAAAGTGAGTTCAGTCAGAAAGGAAGTTACAAGAGCAACCAGTGGGGCTGAACAAAGCCCAGGAGGAGTGGGATGGAAGGACAAATTCTAGGGCCTTCTAGACTATACCACTGACACACTACTCTGGGAAAATGCTATCCCAAACTTAAAGGATGCAACACAAACATTTATGGTCTCACAGTTCTATGAAACAGAAATTTAGGACTCAGCTGGAGGCTCCTGATGTCTCTCAGGAGGCCTGGTCTACAGACTCACCTGAGGTTCAGTTATTGCAAGATCTGCTTCCACACTGAGTCCCATGGTTACTGGAAGGACTCAGGACAGAGACCTAATATCTCCTCATGGGTTGCTCTCTCTGTCCTAAGACTCATAAGCCTCTCTTTGGGCATCATGAGAGAACAGCAGCTTCCCCAGAGCCAGAGTTCCAAGGGAGGCAGAGAAGAAAATAATAGAGACAGAGCAAAAATGTTAAGTAAATCATGGTGAAGTGACATCATATGCCATTGGTCATGTTCCATAGCTAAGGAGTGAACAACTAAATCCAGTCCACACTCAAGCACTCAAAGGGAGGGGATTGCTTAGGATGTGCACACCAGGGTGAGGGTAACTGGGAGCTATTAAGCACTAGGTCCAGCCACAAAGGCCAAGTTGAGGTCCTTAGATCTGAATCTATAATGGGAAGCATTCAGAAGGCTTATGGACCATGAAGATATCTGAATTAACTGAATTTCCACCTTCTCATGATGCAAACAGGAGAAGGCCAAGAAGGGAAGCAACATTTCCAAGGTCACAACATAGGAGCCCAGACTTATTTTTAGCTATATTCTTTGCCACATCCAAAACCTTCCACTATTTCACCTCCAACTTTGTGCATTACCTACATGTGACAGCAGCCCACAATGTTTCTCACACATGCCTGATGATGTCATTCGGAAACAGATGCTAGGATGACCACCAGTGTGCAGGGAGACTAGGGAAGCCCTAAAGATATGATGCCTTGA